CAAGGGAGGTGGACACCTGACTGCTGGGGCAAGTCCCTTAAACTGAGTCTTCCCAGAGCTGATCTCAGTGTCTGTGTCATTCTGCAGTTGGGTGTGGCCCTGCCTGTGTGTGTGTTGGAGGAGGCTTAATAGCCTGGCTCAGCAAGACAGGTAAAAAGGGTGCCCTGCCTGGCAGAACAGGCGGGCTCAGTGGTATCCCGGTACATCAGGTGGCATCTCAAAGGGGGGCAAACCATTACACCAGCATCGCAAGATATTTACATGCCAGATGCACTTAAGATTCATGTGTCCCTTGATGCTTCTACCACCATTCCAGAGGACGTGTCCATGCTGATGACAGGTTCTGCTCAATAACGATCCGAAGCAGTGCGGACCGACACATGTTCATTTTTATCATCTAAGTCAGATGCCACCAGCAGAAGGTTGATTTTCTTTTTTTGGTGGTTTGGGTTCGGTCGTTTCTGAATCAGAGTGTTGCTTTTTTAAGACTCCCAAAAGCATGCTCCACCCTCTCAGATTTTGGAAGACACTTCAGATTCTTAAATCTTGGGTCGAGTGCTGTAGCTATCTTTAGAAATTTCACATTGGTACCTTCTTTACATTTTGTCAAATTTGCAGTGAAAGTGTTCTTCAAATGAACAACATGTGCTGGGTCATCATCCAAGATTGCTATAACATGAAATATATGGCAGAATTTGGGTAAAACAGAGCAGGCGACATACAATTCTCCCCCAAGAAGTTCGGTCACAAATTTAATTAACGCATTATTTTTTTAACGAGTGTCATCAGCTTGGAATGGTGGCTGAAGCATGAAGAGGCATATGAATCTTTAGCGCATCTGGCACGTAAATATCTTGCGATGCCAGCTACAACAGTGCCATATGAACGCCTGTTCTCACTTTCAGGGGACATTGTAATTCAGAAGTGGGCAGCATTATCTACTGTAATTGTAAACAAACTTGTTTGTCTTAGCGATTGGCTGAACAAGAAGTAGGACTGAGTAGACTTGTAGGCTCTAAAGATTTACATTGTTTTGTTTTTGAGTGCAGTTATGTAACAAAAATACCTACATTTGTAAGTTGCACTTTCATGATAAAGAGATTGCACTACAGTATTTGTACGAGGTGAATTGAAAAATATTATTTCTTTTATTTATCATTTTTACAGTGCAAATATTTGTAATGAAAAATAATATAAAGTGAGCACCGTACACTTTGTATTCTGTATTGTAACTGAAATTGACATATTTGAAAATGTAGAAAAACATCCAGAAATGTTTAATAAAATTCAATTGGTATTCTATTGTTTAACAGTGCGATTAATCGTGATAAATTTTTTTGAGTTAATTACGTGAGTTAACTGAGATTAATCAACAGCCCTAATTTAAATTATTATATAGTTGGGAACCCTGAGGTGCACAGTTGCAACACACACAGTATGGGAACTCTCTTATATGTACAAATATAATTTATTAATACATTTAGCACAATCACAAACACCCCAACTCATTAAGGTAGATAGACTACAGAATGTACATCTGCACATCCATATACTCTCACCATCTCTTGTAGAACAACCTGAAGTGTTACCCATCATCTTCCTCATCACCATCACCAGTGGCCGTCACTCTGGCACCTCCCAAGGACTACATCATCTTCTCCTACTGCCCCTGGGCTGCAATGCCACTTTTATCATACGTTACACTGATGCCGTTATGTTTGATGCATATTCAGTAGGGAATTTTCCCCCTATTCCTTATTTCTATTTCCTCACCTCACTAATGTTGGAGGGTCTTTTTTTCTATAGGTTAGTATATCAGTGATCTCAACTTATCATATATGTCAGTTCGTTACCATGGCCCTTTTGTGGTTAGATATCGCATTTGTTATTTCTGTCCTAACCAGTTATTTCGGTTGTGGCGTACCTGTTACGTTTAAAAGGGCATGAACTTAGGAAGCCCCCTATGCCAACCTACTGCAACGCATCCTTTATGTTAAAGCTCGCAGCCATATATGGACTGTATGCTTTAGCTCATCACCATCTATCTAGGTGAAAGGTCCCAAACATATGTATGCTAACTTTGCTTGCTCTGACTTTTCTAGCTCTTTGATCTTAGGACCTGAAGGTTCAGGACTGCATCAGAAGTCTCCCCCAATTCCAACCTCCACAATACTCTCAGCCATCCCAAAGAACTGCAGTAAAAGCTAGGGCAGGGATTGGCAACCTTTGGCATGCGGCCTGCCAGGATAAGCCCCCTGGCAGGCCGGGCCGGTTTGTTTACCTGCCGCGTCTGCAGGTTCAGCCGATTGCAGCTTCCACTGGCTGCGGTTCGCTGCTCCAGGCCAATGGGGGCTGCGGGAAGTGGCGCGGGCCAAGGGATGTGCTGGCTGCCGCTTCCCACAGCCCCCATTGGCCTGGAACCTGCGGACATGGCAGGTAAACAAACCGGCCCGGCCCGCCAGGGGGCTTATCGTGGCGGGCCATGTGCCAAAGGTTGCCGATCCCTGAGCTAGGGTAATGGCAAGATAAGGCAGGGACTTTAAAAAGATGCTTTGTTTGCAGTTCTGGAGGGAAGTTCTGGCTGGCAAGCTATTCTATTCTGTTCATGTTCCTATACCATGCTCATCACCGTGGTATCTGAGTGCCTTCCAGTAGTGCATTAAGCAATGTAACTAAGATTTGTCATGTGTTTGTTCTCTCACCTTCTCCCCAGGAGGAGTGTGCGCATTGGAGTGTCTTATTTTGGTAGGTGTGGTTTTAGGGTTTTTTTGGATGGTTAAATCATAGTGCCCTCAGATCCGTCTGGTGATATTGTATATTATTTGTTTTGCATTAGCACCTAGGAGCCCCAGCTGTGGACCAGGAATCCATTTTGCAAGGCACTGAACAAACAGAGTTCGTAATCTGCCTTTACCATTTGCACAGAAAGAGACAGCCAACCAGTGTGGACTAGAGAAAGAGGTCAGGAACCAGAAAGAATAACACTGTTTGAACTCTTTCTTTTGGTGCTACTGACCTCTGTTTTGTTAACTTTATAATATTCTATGGTGTATTTACCACAAGGAGTACTGGATAAATGAGTTTAAACATTCCAAAGTGTATTTGGTCTTTGAAGAAGGATGGGAACAATGCACTCAAAAATTTAAACAAGTATGTTTTTATTCAGTTTTAGGCTCGCGCAGTTCTAAACAGTAAACCTAATTAACAATACATCCACAGTACCAAAGAATGTAGCTCTGGTATCAGTAGAAATGTCTACTGTTCAAGGCACTGATATTGGTAAGAAAAAGTTACATTATGTTGGTTACACCTATTTCAACATTATTTTAAACCACTACGAATGTGATCACTATTCAAATGCTTAAAAATCCACAAGCTACATTCAAAAAAATGTGCATACTTCTCAGTGATTACCAAATTACTTCCCCATTTAGACTTGGAGTAAGTATTGCATTACTCTGGAACTGAAACAAGTGCTGAACTACAGAAAATATTTTAAAACATGTACAAATAAACAATTTTGGTAATATGGCTTTAAGACCCTGCATTTGGTTACAACATAGCAAGCAAAATTAGATAACAGCATATTCACACGATATGCTGTTGTCTTAAAAGGAAAAAATCCTTTACTGTATAAAAATTAGTTTAGAACATACTAAAGCCAGATTTTATACAAATATCTTTACAAAACTGAATTATACATAGAAAACAAACAAAAAAGTCAAATATGCAGCACTCTTCACATGTTAATATTATACCCATTATATTACTTAGTTGTATATTTTTACTATGTATATTGTAGATCAGGGATTGGCAACCTTTGGCACACGGCTCGCCAGGGTAAGCACCCTGGCGGGCCGGGCCGGTTTGTTTACCTGCCGCGTCTGCAGGTTCGGCCAATCGCGGCTCCCACTGGCCGCAGTTCGCCGTCCCAGGCCAATGGGGGCACGGGAAGCGGCAGCCACCACATCCCTTGACCCGCGCCGCTTCCCGCAGCCCCCATTGGCCTGGGATGGCAAACCGCGGCCAGTGGGAGCCGCGATCAGCTGAACCTGCGGACGCGGCAGGTACACAAACCGGCCCGGCCCGCCAGGGTGCTTACCCTGGCGGGCCGTGTGCCAGAGGTTGCCAATCCCTGCTGTAGATGATATAAATTATGGATGTTACAAACTAATTTTTAGCTCGGCACTTAGATACTATGGTGATGTGCACATTATAAATATCTAAACATTAGATTTTCAAAATTCCTTAAGAGACAAACATTTATATTTGCCAAAGACAGAAACGGTCACCTAGGTTTTTTAATGAACCATGGCAACATCTTGTAGTCAATTTAAGAATCCCAGACCTTTCTTTGGATTTCCTAGGGTGGTATTTCCTACAAAAGCTAACATGTTTAAAGGTAAAATAGTAGTTCAAACTCAAAAGGGAGTCATCTATCCCATGCATCTGCAACATCTCTATTTGGATACAATACAAAGTACAGTACATGACGTTTTCTTTCCAGACCACTGTTCATTAAAATACACATCTCCCTACCCTTTCATTACCTAAGGACTGATTCTGACTGATTTCAAGAACCCAGAAGTTCTTCTGAAGTCACTGGGAAGTGTAGGTATTCAGTACCTTTTAGAATTAGGCCCCTAAATATGGAACTTAGGCCACTACTAGACAGTGAGGAAAAGAGAAATGTGAATTGCTGGTGTTTCACAGAGAATTCCAAAAGGGAACATACAAAAATACTGTATACGACATTTAAAATGTTAAATATGATGGTCACAAGATTCAAAATTCAAGGTATTTCTGACAATAAATCCTCAAACCACACACACACACATACACAAAATCAAGCTGGTTCCTTCTTCCTTTTCTAACAAGTGTAACACGTACTGGATTGAAACATTCAATGTTCTATGCAATATGGCAGACAAGTAGTACAACACAACACCAAAACTACAGTACAGCCTGTCTCTCACTAATCTGCAGTACCTTACTGAGATTTAAAATATTTTATATATTATAAATCTTCCCTTATACGTCTCTGTTTCTTTTCAGTAAATGAATCTTCCATCTTTGGTGCCAGCCATGTGAAATACACCTTGACTGGATCAACGTTCCAATGCTTGTGAAATGATATTGGAATTTGGTGAGCAAGGTAGTCCTTTGGATAGTCCATTGGTCTTGCCTAAGATGGGAGGATAAAACAAAAATACTAGTTATCACTGGTTTAAAAAATGCTGTTTTACAACAGTAAAGTGAGTTTTGGATCAAGAATCATCACTCAATAGACCTCTCATCTCGAATGTTTTGACCTCAGTAATATAGTATTACTGTAAAAGATTCCATAATTATTGCAGTCATTTTTACATAGTACTATTAAACTGACTGGCTTGCATTAATTTATATTAATGTATCCGACTTTTAAGGACTGCAATCATCATGGTGTTTGAGTCCTACTACTCAGCTAGACAAGGTTATAACTAGGGTTGTCAAGCAATTAAAAAAATTAATCACACTGTAAATAGAATACCATTTATTTAAATATTTTTAGATGTTTTCTACATTTTCAAGTATATTGATTTCAATTACAACACTATACAAAGTGTACAGTGCTCACTTTATATTTATTTTTATTACAAATATTTGCATTGTAAAAACAAAAGAAATACTATTTTTCAATTCACCTAATACAAGTATGGTAGTGCAATCTCTTTACCATGAAAGTTGAACTTACAAATGTAGAATTATGTATAAAAAATAACTACATTCAAAAATAAAAGTATGGAAAACTTTAGAGCCTATGAATCCACCGAGTCCTACTGCCTGTTCAGCCAATCACTCAAACAAGTTTCTTTACATTTGCAGGAGATACTGCTGCCCGCTTCTTGTTTACAATGTCACCTGAAAGTGAGAACAGGCGTTTGTGTGGCACTGTTGTAGCCAGCATCAGAAGATATTTACGTGCCAGATGTGCTAAAGATTCATATGTCCCTTCATGCTTCAACCACCATTCCAGAGTGTTGCTCTTTTAAGACTTCTGAGAGCATGCTCCACACCCTGTCCCTCTCAGATTTTGGAAGACACTTCAGATTCTTAAACCTTGGGTCGAGTGCTTTAGCTATCTTTAAAAATCTCACATTGGTGCCTTCTTTGCGTTTTGTCAAATCTGCGGTGAAAGTGTACTTAAAACGAACAACATGTGCTGGGTCATTCGAGACAGCTATAACATGAAATATATGGCAGAATGTGGATAAAACAGAGCAGGAGACATACAATTCTCCCCCAAGATGTTCAGTCACATTTAATTAACACATTTTTTTAACAAGTGTCATCAGCATGGAAGCATGTCCTCTGGAATGGTGGCCGAATCATGAAGGGGTATATGAATGTTTAGCATATCTGACACGTAAATACCTTGGCAATGCCGGCTCCAAAATTGCCTTTTCTCACTTTCAGGTGACACTGTAAATAAGAAGAGGGCAGCATTATCTCCTGTAAATGTAAACAAACTTGTTTGTCTGAGCGATTGGCTGAACAAGAAGTAGGACTGGGTGGACTTGTAGGCTCTAAAGTTTTAAATTGTTTGGTTTTGGGATGCAGTTATGTAACAAAAATATATATATATATTTGTAAATTGCACTTTCACAATAAAGAGATTGCACTCCAGTACTTGTATGAGGTGAATTAAAAAATACTATTTCTTTTGTTTGTCATTTTTACAGTGCAAATATTTGTAATAAAAAATAATATAAAGTGAACACCGTACACTTTGTATTCTGTGTTTTAATTGAAATCAATATATTTGAAAATGTAGAAAAATATCTAAAAATATTTAATAAATTTCAATTGGTATTCTATTGTTTAACTGTGTGATTAAAACGTGTGTGATTAATTTTTTGAGTTAATCGCATGAGTTAACTGCGATTAATCAACAGCCCTCGTTATAACATGTAAAAGTAGTAATAGAGGGAAACAGCTAGAATATTTTCACAAATGTTTGTATTATGTTTTCAATTACATTTTCACGTTGAAACAAACTGCAAAATTTTAAAGTAATGTAGAATGAACTCATAGTCAGTCTGTTTTGAGGGGACCTGCCAGTTTAGAAATTATCATATTGAAATGATTTAATGACTAGCTGATTTCACAGTCTTTGCCAAGTTGGGAATATGAAAGATATAGAAATGAGGGATAATCTTAACTGGCCAGGCACACCAAAAACAAATAAAACTTAGAAAAAGTACTTGGCCTGGATTTTTTTCACTATTTGTTTTCTTTATTCACAACGCAACTCCAGACCTTCTTATCCCAGATAATCCCAAAAAGAAACATTAACTTTTTATAGCTTTATTTTAGGGGTTGCTAGAAGCTAATTGCTCGCTCTCTCTCTCTCTCTATATATATATACACACACACACACAGAGATACATATACATATATACACACACACACTGTGTGTATATATATATATATATATATATATATATATATATATATATACACACACACACACACACATACATACACACACACACACACATTGCATAACACATTCCACCACAAAAGATTCTTACAACCCTTTTTTGAGAAGCTTTTATGTTGATGCAGCACACCTTTGAACTGGGGCAGGAGGAAAGCCCTTGGGCTAGAGAAGTGTCTTTTCTTTGTCCTTTGAAATTCCATTTAAGTTTTGCTGAGATATAGATGTTTGAAAATTGTCATTTCCCTTATCTCTCTTGCGTTTCCTCAGAAAATTTTTGAGACTGCCAAAATAATAATTAAACACAAGCATTCTGAAGTGCCGCTACAACTGCTGCAATACTGATTTTTAAATGCTTTGGATCTGCAGGAGCAGCTGCTGGATGTGGGGCAGCAAGAGGAAAGCTGAGCCAGGCTCTGTCCCCAGCAACCCACATCCCCACTCTGGAGGCACCATATAGCAAGAGCTCCCTCAGGTCCTTCCTGGGAGGAAAGGGAAAGCCTGTCTGAGCTCTCCCCAACAACCCCCTAAAGCGTATTCTTCTTTAGGATCACAGTTTTTCCTGTCAAATGGTTGAAGTCTGTGCTGCAGGCAGAAGGGTCAGGGTTCAAATGCTACTGCTGATGCATGATTTTGTGTCTGTATGGGGGGTGTTATTACAGTTGCACATAATATAATTTTCACATTTTTCCTTTTAAGAAAAACCTAGGAAATTACATTAAAAATGTTAAGAAAACATTGCAAAGGTTGTAAAGTCAAATACTTTAAAGTTAAGAAATGCCACATTTGTGGTTGCCTAAAGAGGCAGATAGGCACAGAATAGAATCATAGAATATCAGGGTTGGAAGGGACCTCAGGAGGTCATCTAGTCCAACCCCCTACTCAAAGCAGGACCAATCCCCAGACAGAGTTTTGCCCCCGATCCCTAAATGGCCCCCTCAAGGATTGAACTCACAACCCTAGGTTTAGCAGGCCAATGCTCAAACCACTGAGCTATCCCTCCCCCCATACAGTATTTTCAATTTGAATAGTATTTTCAAAAGCACTTCCAATCAGACTTAGGCACTTCATTGTTTTTGAAAATCCCACTAGGTGCCTAAGCAACTAAATTTAGTCATTTGTCATTGCCAGGGGAGGGGGACTGAGACATCTCTGTAGCACTATTAAAATGGGTATTTGCTCACACTTTACATTTTTTAAAATCTACTTTATCTGTTTTCTCAGACTTTCTCTGGGTGGAAGGGGTGAGCAGGGGGAGGTTGTACTGGGAATGTCTGCTACTGGGACAGGGATTTTAAGGAGTTGGGTGCACTTTAAATGAATAAGTTAAATAAATATCATTTTCAATACTTGTAAAAATGTGTCTCTCACCTGATGGAAAAGTGGACAGTGTGTTATGGGGATTCCTAAACCACTGAAACACATTCCAAGGACCATATCATCTGGAGCATCATTGCTGTAACAGTGGCATTTACTAGCAAGTAGTTTTTGGATGGCTTCTCTGCTGAAAACCATCCTAAACAATAAAAGCAAACAGAAAGTATGAGACACTCATTACTAATATAGCTGAATAACTGTAAACAATTTCCATTTATTAAGTCTTACTCAATGGAATAAAATCACAACATGGAACGTAGTCCACTGGTGCATAGTATTTGGGAAACTGAAAGATGTTAGAAGATAGCATTCAGGCTTGAATTCTTAATGAGGATTTTTCTGAGACATATTTATTCTAGATAGTAAAATCAAATTATGATGTGATTTATTTAATTACAGAAAATCTTAATTACCCCAAATTTTACTTGGTAGTGATCCTTACCTGTCCCTTACCTCCACACATTTTTTCTTGATGCAGGGTGAGGGGAGAACTCTGTTTGGAGGAATGGAGAATATACATAGGACATGTAGAGTATTCAGAAATCCTGTCGTTACATAATTTAGTCTCGTGTTTGAAGTTGCTGTGTGTGTTTTTATATGAACTGAATACTCATCTCTTTTCCCCTCCTCTGAAACTATCTAATAAAAATGCAATTATAAAAAGTATTTAATGAAGTATCTATATTGTGAAAAATGTTTTAAGCTAAAAAAAAAGTTACTCTTGACAAAAATATCTAACTTTTAACAGATGATTTTCTTGTGGGTTCCACTTGTTTTGGATTTGCTTCTTGCGTAGTTTGGTAAAAACATTTTGTTTTTTCTTCTATCTTGTTCATCTGGATAATTAGAACGTAGCAGTATAAAAAAAAGAGAAAACTAAATCTGAACTGCCATTTTTCCTGGTAACAGGTTACATATCGCAATCATATATTAGAGCTCTGTCCACAGGAACAGACCAATATCTTAAACTGTGCTGCAAAGATTTACTGTTCAGCTTGGCTCCCTATGACTGTTCATTTAAATATCATCTGCAGCATGGATGCCTTCAGGTCTCTACCAGTAAAACAAGCCTCTGATAGCTGCTGCTCCACAGAAGTCTCATGATGATCCAGAGCTCTGCAGCTGAGGACATACCAGGGCCGGCTCCAGGCACCAGCTTCTCAAGCAGGTGCTTGGGGCGGCCGTTCCAGACAGTGGCGGCAGTTCCAGGTATTCGGCGGCAATTCGGCGGACGGTCCCTCACTCCGCCTGGGATTGAAGGACCTCCTGCTGAATTGGCGCCGCAGGTCGCGATCGCGGCTTTTTTTCGCGCGCGCGCGCGGGGCTTTTTTTTTTTTTTGGTTTTGGCTGCTTGGGGCGGCCAAAACCCTGGAGCCGGCCCTGGGACATACTCTCTTGCTTCACATTCTACGACTCTCCCTTCTCTGTCTATAACTCCATCCAGTTTTACCACTATATATGGTAAACTAGATGTTAAGGAAGCTCATCATAGCTGCCCAACTCTCCACAAGATATTCTCTTCTTTTTTTGGCAAAAAACACCTGCTTGAGTTCACTCGCTATAACAGAATCCTTAAATGGCAGCTGGTGTGTAGACTCAGATACATCCAATACAAAATTTAAGGAAAAGGTTTTGAATATTGTCAGGATCAATGTTGTTAAAGGCTTTAGAAACAGCAGTGACAATTTAAGGTCAATCTGCTAGGCAAACAGGAAAAAGAATAGAGCGCAGGCATAATATAATCATGACCAGTCATGTTGCTGTATTCTGATCAAGCTGCAAGCAAAGGAGCAACTGTATTGAGAACCTTGAAAAAAGGAAGTTATAATAATCATGACTGGAACAGCATGTGTTGCTGCTGAAAAGTTGTCATAGAAGAATAAAATAAATAGTATAAAGTTAGCGAATTAAAAAACCCACTACTTGATAACAGAAAGGGCATGGTCAAAGTGATTACAAGATCTTTAACTTTACTCACTATCTGCCAACAAATCTCCTCAACAATAAACAGGAATATGAAGGAGAAGTGAGCTATTTTATATACATATCTTCACAGACCTGAGTACCAGAAAGCTATGATGGTTCTTGAAGGTATAGTAAAAATCACAGTACAAACAACAGAAAATATAAAAAATCTGTTCGTAATTGGCAAGCACTCCAGCATCAAAAGAAAGGGGTAAACTCTGCATAATTAAGAATGATGGGCACATTCCCAGGCTATGCAAGACAATGAAAAGGCCAGCCAATTAGTCTTATTTATTTATGGACATAAATAAATATTACACTAACTCAGTTTTTTTCCTGGAGAATACCGATTTTACGTGTTTTAAGGGCATTCAGAGCATGGGACTGAATAATTTAGATTTTAACTTATCTAAATAGAATAATGGATCTACAACTACCCAACAAACAAAATGGACAGAGATTAGAACCACAAGTGATGGATCTCACTAATGTTATTTGGATCAACCTAGAAGATCATGGATATATTCATCTGAAACCCAAATCATTCACCAAATCCATTGGGAAACTATAGTTCTCAACCATAAGGACTGGACAATCGATCTGCAATGATCTCTCTACAACAGAAACTATCTTCCATTGAAACCAACACTAAAGAACTCACTCGCCTACCTCTTCAGAATATGAGTTAAAAACCAAAAGGGAGACAATCACTTTCACTCACACCATAGACAAACAAAGAGGGAGAGGGATGGTCCCGCAGCAAAGGCAATAACTGTGCTCTAAGCCCCCGCCCCCTCCCCTGCTTTTACTGCCACTACATTATATCATGTGATAAAACATTATTCTTGTCACCTCTGTGTGATCTATAATATTCCAAAACATTTGCATTGGAAGAATGACTGTTTTAGCTCTCAGTAGGATTTGAAATAAAGTAAGTTACCCTCCTCCGCCAGTGATATAACTATATCCTCCTGTTCCCAATCCGTAGCCATAACGCTCTCCAAGAAACACTGGTTCATTTGGGTCATAGCAGCTGAGTAATTTCCGGAGCCTAAAGATACTAAAATGAGAGTCCATTTATTAAAAATATATTAAATCAGATATAGATCTTTATTTCTTTAAAACAAGTTTCAAAATACTTAAATTGACAGCTTAAAAGGCATTTTGGAATACAGTATAGAAAAATACATGTAAATTAATTGTGGGAATTCCAGGTAAAATAGTCAGGCGATCTGAACTTGGTAATGGAAGTTTAAAGCTAATTAGGCCATTTCCTTTGAAAAATAATTCATAATACTTCAAATGATTAACTAGATAGTTCATGAAACATTTTTCAAAAGAAACAAATATGTTCCTCAGCAACACTGAGTCTTCAATTTTAAAGTATACTTGGATTTTTCCAGACTACACTGAAAGAAGGGTAGGGAGGTAGAATTTTCGAAGACTGAAAGGCTAACAATACTGCCGTGATCTGTGGCCTTATTTTATTATTATTATTTATATGACAGTAACAACAAGAGTCCCAAGTACAGTAACTCCTCACTTAACGTTGTAGTTATGTTCCTGAAAAATGCGACTTTAAGGAAAACGATGTTAAGCGAATCCAATTTCCCCATAAGGATTAATGTAAATGAGGGGGTTAGGTTCCAGGGAAATTTTTTTCACCAGACAAAAGACTATATATATATATATATATATACACACACACACACACAATATAAGTTTTAAACAAACAATTTAATACTGGTACACAGTGATGATGATTGTGAAGCTTGGTTGAGGTGGAGGAGTCAGAGGGTGGGATATTTCCCTTACTGCTAAATGATGAACTAGCAATTGGCTGAGCCCTCAAGGGTTAACTCTCTCACTCTGCAAGGCAGCAGGAATGGAGGGAGATATGCTCATTTCCCTTAAGTACACTACCTTGTTAATTAGATCAGCTTGCTGAGACCGCAGCTGCTACAAGCTCCTTCTGTCCTGAGCCCTGCTCTAAGGAATATGGGGTAAGCGGGGTGCAGGAGCAGGGGGGAGAGGGACACCCTGACATTAGCCTCCCTCTTCCTTCCCTCCTCTTCCCCCCCCCTCCGGCACAGCAAGCAGGAGTCTCTGGGAGCAGCTCCAAGGCAGAGGGCAGGAGCAGCACATGGCAGTGGGGGAAGGGACATAGCTGAACTGCAGGCAGCTGCTGCACAGGGAACTTAGGGGAGCGGGGAGCTGATAGGGGGCTGCCGGTCCACCCTGGTTCCAAGCCCCCACCAGCTAGCTGCAACGGGCTGCTCTTCCTGCAAGCAGTAGACAAAGCTGGTGGCTGCCAAAGGACGTTAGAAGGGAGGAGTTACTGTAGGATCAGGATCTCAAAGACAATCCTTGCTTGGGCCTCTTCATGCTACTCTAAAATGATTTTACAGCTAAACTAACACAAACTGCCAAAAAGGTGCTCTAGGTCAGTGGTTCTCAACCCTTCCACACTACTTTACCCCTTTCAGGAGTCTGATTTGTTTTGTGTACCCCAAGTTTTATCTCACTTAAAAACTACTTGCAAGCAAAATCAGACATAGAAATACAAAAGTGTCATAGAACACTATTACTGAAAAATTGCTTACTTTCTCTGTTTGTCTGTATGAAATTTTAAGTTTGTACTGACTTTGCTAGTGCCTTTTTATGTACCCTGTTGTAAAACTAGGCAAATATCTATATGAGTTGATGTGCCCCTTAGAAGACCTCTGTTTACCCCCAGGGGTATGCATACCCTTGTTGAGAACCACTGCTCTAGTTCAACCACAAACTATGGACAGGAATCATTGCATGTGTGTATATATAAAAACATTCCAAATTTTTTCTTTTAAAAAAAATCTGATCCTATTGTTTTAAAATCTGTTCCCCTGACCTTTCAAATGGCAGATTCGATGCCTTTATGCACAATGAGTAGCACTTTGCTCCATATGTATGGTGTAAGGTACTATTAAACACTGAATAATCTGGTCCTAAATCCATTTACTTCTATTTTTCTTTTTTAAACCTCTATTTCATTCCTTTTTATAACCTCTATTTCCATACTTTATATCTTTATACTTTTGAACTACTCCTTTCTCTCTTAAAACTGGTTTTGATGTATTCCACAACGTACTTAGAGAAGAGAGATATCTTTAATAGCTTAATAAATAATTTCAAAATTGCTATTCAAGCAGAATAATTACGTCTGGATTTTGTAACTGAATTATTCATTCTCTAAACCAGAGTCGGAGTCTCTCTCTTGTCAAATGATTTATCATCAACACAGGTGGCAAACTGGAACACTTGTTAAAATTCTTATTTCATAGTCAGTCATTATATTCTCCCCAAAACATTAACTCAGTCTTTGGATAATAGCTTCATTGATCATAGTGTTATCATACCATATAGAATTAAGATTTCAATAGCTATCAATTAGCTATAATTAATTTCTCTTCCCTTTTTAATTCCCTTCCTTTCTTTTGTTAATCAAAAAGAATGAGGAATTATGTAATTTTTTACAGTAATCTCCAAAGTAATGAGCATCAGTTTTTGTAATCTGGTGTGGAAAATATGCTGAGAAATTACTATAGTACAGATGATGGAATTTTTAGTTCATGGGAATTTTTGATATTTTGAAATCTGGTTTCAGTCTAATTTAAGAATTACCCATGAACTGGGGAGTCTGAAAAATTTTATTTGAAAACATGGTGTTTCTGAACAAAAAAATGCATCCTCTGATCTTGGCAAATGCTGCGTGAAACTGACATAATTCTTGTCAGTTTCACTACTCTCCACCACTGAACAAGAGAGGTGAAACTGACAACAATTGTATCAGTTTTTCAATTAGTAGTTGCTGGGCCTTCTACAGTCTGTAGCTCCTGGGCAGACCCACCAGGCAGACTGTCTTGGGCTGGGGCTGCAGAGCTTCCAGACTGCTGGGCCATCTGGCTCCCTAAACTCTTGGGGCAGTCCGTACCAGGACTTCCAGGCTCCTGACTCCATGGCACTGAACCTGGAAGCCCCTAGAGCCTGAGGCTCCTTCTATCAAGTTGGGAGCTGAGCCCTGTTAGAGCCTGGGTCCCAGACTTCTAGGCTCCCAGCTTCATGGCAGCCTGGAAGCCCTGAGACATGTTGCCCCACAGCTGCAGATCCTGGAAGCGCTGGGATTTTTGGAGCAGGTTGCAGGGAAGGGCTGCGCCCGAGCTACAAACCCTGGAGTCCTGATTCTGGGGCAGTCCCAGGCTCCCCAGCAACCCCAGGAACCAGACAGGGTTCTGATAGAAGCCTGCCTGTGATTCAATAAAAAGTTGTTGAACCCAAGGTATTTCTGCAAAACACTTGGGGTTCGACAATTTGTATTTTCCGACGAAACAGGAAATTCCCAACAGCTCTAATTTATTCCTCATTTGTCACTGTGGGATCACCATTACTCCATGTGAGTTCTGCAACACCAACTCCCCTTCAAAATGTGTTGAATGTAAAGCAGTAAATGCGTATTTTTCTGCTTCTCCATGACGGTTCAAATTACCAACTTGCTATTTCTTTGAAAGCAATAATAAAATATAATTTACTAATCTACTTTGAAAGAGACAGTAAACATTTCTAGGGCGTTTCTTTTTTAGAAAATTAGATTGTGTTCAAACATGACAATTTTCTAACAAAGCCAAGCCCTAGACATAGGTATGGTTGGCTGTTAGGACTAAGAATGGGTTTGGAGCCCTCATCCTCTGGGATCTGCTCCACATCAGGAAAATGCACTGTATTAGAAAATGTGTTAACTTAAAGTTAGTCACAACCAGTTAATGCCTTATATGCTCTTGTATCAACAGATTGCAATATATGACTGTCACATATTCAAAGTAGTGACAGATTATTATGTGTATAAATTATTTGTTATAGGAGATTTTATAAGAGTAAACTGTATTTTTAAAAGGAGTCCAGGAATATATGGAGCAAAAGATAGTGCTCCTATTTACTGGAGTATAAATCAAAATAAATAAATATTTCTAAAACTCTTATTAATACAAATTAAGAGCATTTCTGAAATACTGTAATTCGTACCTTATTAAGGTGTCATCATCCACAATGACTAACCATGGTGTTTTGGAAGAGCTGTGATTCAAAAATCTTTCCAAAATGGCAAAAGTCTTCCCGCAATGACCTAAAAGGGGGAGGAATAAGAGAAAGACCATACTGTACATTGTTTTTGAGAGAGAGAGAGAGAGAGAGAGAGAGAGAGAGAGTGCGTGCATGCGTGTGTGTGTGTGTGTGTGTGTGTACAATTATTTGTAAATTAATCTGAATGACACATTTTACTGGATAATACAGTGTTGACCAAAGTATTGAAACATGTTTGTGCAGATAATGGCAAAGTGGCAAAGGAGCTGAGGATCCAAATTTCAATTTGTATTGTAGAGATTTTGATTTGGATGTGATTCCACAATAGGCTGCTTTCTATGAGGCAACATGGCCTACTGAGCAGGGCACTAGACTATGATTCCAGAGACCTGGGTTCTGTTCCCTGGTCTACCACTGGCCTGCTGGGTGACCAGGGCCAAACCAACTCACTTCTGTTTCCCCATCCATAAAACGGGGATAATGTAATTACTTCCTTTGTAAAATGCTTTGAGGTCTATGCGTGAAATGTGCTATATAAGTATTATTCATACCCATAAATTAAACTTAACAATGCACCAGGTCAGTATATAATTAGATTTGTTTTGTTAAGACTTGAGTGGGCACAACCAATCAATGGAATAATCAAAGGTATAGGCATTAACTCTGATTAAATCATAGCTCCTGATAGCTTCCCCAAAGCAAAAGCTTTAGAATTTAATAAAAAGCAGTGTTTTATAGCTTGTAAGTGAGAATCAAAATGGCAAAAGAAATAAAGTGTCATACAAGCTTAGTTAAAGCTAAAAATGTCTTCCAGGAAGATCAAACTGTAAATCACTAACACTCACTAAAAATCACTTGTGTTCAAGAGAGATATTTCAGAAGCAATTAACACTATTAATGCGTCATGTAATAAAAAAACAAACAAATAAGATTGAGGTATTATAGTTGGGATTTTTTCAACAAAAACACTTTTTGACACACAGCAGAATATTTTTGGTTAAAAACTTCGCTTTTTTTCCTCCTGGCATTGAGAACCTCTATTTATCTATACTTTTTTTTTTAATCCATTAACATAATAAAAATGGATTTACAGCAAATGTTTCCAGTTCTATGCTATCCATTGAAGAGAAATACACCAAGTGAAGTGTGTGAAAGAAGGCAATAAAATGAGAATGAACAAACCACTGAAGCCATAGTATCGAAGGCTTTTTTCTGTTCAAGGGCACCTTAAATTATTACTTTAAACTACTATGTTACGTGCTCAGACAAAATACTGTTTGATTTTTCCATTTAGTTTCAACGTTTAAAAACACAGGCATACTAGATGTAGGCACATATTACTTTGAAACCATCTTGTAAGTGCTTCATGCTACAGCAACCAGTTGGCATCATATAAGGTCTTCTGTTATGAATGTATCACTCTGACACTGCTACTGCAACAACCTTAATATCAACAAGATTGATAGAATAGTGATGGCAGAAGGAAACATTTCAACAGACAGAAATTGTCCACTCAGGCATTTTTACTGTGCCCACGTCCATAGTAGCGAGGCACCAGATCATAAGCAAATGATTCTGTCCAAAGGAACTGTATTCTCCACCCATCTCTTGTTTTGTGTGATTAGTAAGAAGAATTTTTAGTTTATTTTTACTTCCAAAGGACTGTGCTACAAAAATGTAACACTTCAGCATAACTTACTATACACTGAATAGACATTTCACCTTGAAAACTTATCATACTCATACAATTAAATTTTCTGTAAAGATAATATTAGAAGCTTACCTCTTTCAGTATTAGGTACTCCTAAATCTATAGTAGGAATGGAGGTCTCTGCATAATCACTATAATATTCAACAAGGGTAGCCTCACCTTCCCAGGTCTGCTTTACAATCGGTACTGAAAAATAATTAGTCGTATTGAAACATAAGAATGGCCATACTAGGTCAGACCAATGGTCCACCTAGCTCAGTATCCTGTCTTCCAACAGTGGCCAATGCCAAGGTGCTTCAGAGCGAATGAACAGGCAATTATTGAGTGATTCGTGCCCTGTTGTACACTTGCAGCATCTGGCAGTCAGAGGCTAGCGACACTCACACCATGGGGTTGTATGCCTGACCTTCTTGCCTAATAGCCATTCATAGACCTATCCTCCAGGAACTTACCTAATACTTTTTTTAATCCAGTCATAATTTTGGCCTTCAGAACTTTCCCTGGCAATGAGTTCCACAGGTTTACTGTGCAGTGTGTGAAGAAGTATGTCCTTTTGTTTGTTTTAAACCTACTGACTATTAATTTCATTGGGTGACCACTTGTTCTTGTGCTATGTGAAGGAGAAAATAACACTTCCTTATTCACTTTTTCCACACCATTCATGATTTTATAGACCTCTATCATATTCTCTCCCCCTGCTTAGTTGTCTCTTTTCCAAGCTGAAAAGTCCCTGTCTTTTTAATTTCTCCTCAGAGGGAAGCTGTTCCATTCCCTTAATCATTTTTGTTGCCATTCTCTGTACCTTTTCCTATTCTAATATATCTTTTTGAGATGGGGCAACCAGAACTGCATGCAATATTCAAGGTGTGGGCATACCATAGATTTATATAGTGGCATTATGATATTTACTATCTTATTTTCTATCCCTTTGCTAATGGTTCCTAACATTGTTAGCTTTTTTCACTGCAATGCACATTGAGTGGATGTTTTCAGAGAATTATCCATGATAAACCGCCAAGATCTCTTTCTTGATTGGTAACAGCTAATTTAGAAACATAAGTAGCTACCGTTTATTTAAATGGCTGTACTGACCAAATTAAACCAGAGTGCTTTTCAGTGAGGCCAAAGGCAAAGTGGAAAAACACTGCTTGGAAAGTTTTAGTTACATACATTGCTTATGCTGCAGGAATAGCTCCACGTATAACAAATGGAATTATACTGAAAATTTGTAAAACTGAGTTCTCTCAAAACAGAGTTATTAACCAGGAATGTAAATAAAGAAATAAAAGAGATAACCTAATCGCGTCTTCCTAGACATTCCCTGATCTACTTACATATCTGGGGTTTCAAATGAGTAATTTTTCTAGGTATGATACAGATGATTTTTCATACCTGGCCCAAAGTTTCTTACAGCATCGCTGCTCTGTCCCCCTCTCTCTGGGAGAACAACACAGACAGGCAAAAGGGGAGTCTTGTTTCAATTTTAAAAAGTTCTAGCCTTCCCACTGGCTCTTTTGGCCAGGTGCCCACTCAATTCCTTTTACCTATGCATAGCAGCGAGACTTTTTAACCCTTTACAGGTAAAGCAAGTAGAGAACAGCGACTAAGAGGGATTTTATAGCTAACTGTCTGGCTGGGTGTCCATAAAAGGGAGCTACCTCCCCTCCCCTTCATTTATCATAAATGTTCAAAACAAAGATAAGAAATTGTTGCAAATCTCTGTCCTGATTATGTGCAGGGTTTGTGTAAAGAGTGTGAAATGTGTGTTTTACAAAATATGCCCCACCTACCAGGTACAGACCATTATAGGCATCACTTTGACTTTGAACACACGTCAAAGAAGATAGATAAGAAAGATGTATTAGATTTAAAGTAATGCAAAGAAATTGTGAAATCCTCTGTTTATTGAAAACATTCCAGAGGCGTTAGGTGCCTAACTTTGAGACAGCTGACCAGCTGCATTGTGGTGTCCGGGATTGCTTGACAGCATATTGGCCTTCCTTTCTGTATTACGCTGTTTGTTTTGTCTTTTACTCATAAATTGATTAAACCTATGTTATTTGACATCTCGTGTTATAATCTAAATCAAACCCATAACAGTTGGATGCCTGGTAGCTGATATATTCAGTGGCATGGTAATGAAAATGCTGCCTCTAAATAAGGCATCATGATCCTAACACTTATGCGGTTCTTTTCAGTACTACAGTAGTTAGAAGAGGCAGCTTTATAGTTCTGTGAAAGACAAGCCACAAGTGGTTGGGTGAGTTTTACATAAAAATAAAATTTCTCATAAAATATGAGTGTATTTTCATTCATACTGTATGAAGGATGTAATCCAACACCTTTGTACAAGATGTTTAAATAAATGCTGACCAGGCATATTCTTTACATCTGTGTTAGATTTTGTTTATAATGCTGTGGTAACAATTATTATAGTGGTGCGGGAGTGCCACTATAGTTAAGTTTGCATCATGACATCTATTTAAAGGTATACCTTTCTAACTCCTCTAAAATTGACATGCTTAGTCAGATTTTCTTTAAAATTTGGTGTGCCTCAGGAGGGTACAGGGTAGGGTTAATCATCTGGAGTCATTTGAGCCAGGGTTTCCAGAGATATAAGCCCTGACAAAATTAACATTTAAAAAAAATTGTAGATGTTTGGGGTTTTTTTGCCCAGAGCTAGAGATCAACTGATTAATGTGATGTGGATCAAATGGTCCAGGTCTGTTTAGTTTTATCCAAGATAGTGCATGACACCCACTACATCTTTGGTGGGACTCAAGTTGAGAACAGTATTTTAGGAAATTGTATATTTTAACACTGCTCATGTGACAATACAGTAAAACGGCCTGAGGGTTTCCATTCCTGCCATTTGAATGCTCAGAAGTTCAACTCTTGTAAGTGCTTTAAAATATGAATGGTTAATCAGATTGCTTTGTAATTTGGTGAGCCTCATGTGGGTGCAGGGCAGCATTAGTGATCCAAATTTGGGATCATTTGACCAAGGAATTCCTGAGTTACAACTTCTTCCCCCCAAAAAACCCCCACATGGTTTCCTTCTGCTGGTACTGTTAAACTAAGAGGTATTAATGACTGGATGAATAAACAGTCCCCTGGCTGGCTGTGAATTCATCCTTCAGTGAATGCATCTATTCTAACCTATGACAAAAAGGAATTTTGAACTGAATGGGGGAAGGTTTCTACAATTTGTGAGTAATGGGTGGCAATTTTATTTTGGGGGGAATGTAATCCAAGTAATTTTTGGGAAAAAAATAGACATGTGAATGTTTCCTGGAAGGGGAGGGATAGTAGAAGGTGGGGGAATGGGGAAAATAGGAGTAGAGGGGTTTGGGGCTTCAGTGAGGGAAAGCAAGAGGTTTGGCATACCCCAGCTCTGCCAGTGTACCTCAACCCCCCTGTGCGCCTCCAGCTCTGCCAATGCACCCCAAGCCCCTGCAGCCTCAACAGTGCCAGTACACCCCAAGTCCCTTACTCCAACCTTTCTGCACCCCACACTTCTGCCAGTACACCCCAACAGTGCAAGAAAACTATTAATAATTGTTGGAAGAACATTAATTGCGAAACTGGATGGTTCATGGCTGACCAGAAAATGTGAACTGTGTGGCATAGAAATATTACAATATGACAGCTCAGTGGATTCTTCATAAAGAAAGATCGTACTTGATTTGGATGTTTGCTTTCCTGTACTATGCACTATTCACATAAGTAGTTACAAGAGTCATTTATTCTTGCCTGAATAATAATCAATTTAAGGATTAAGGTGAACAAAAAGATAACTGTTGTTTAAGAATGGTGAGAACTGATGAACAAAACTTTAAGATCTGTAGAAGATATGATTCCACGGCAGTAACATTCTGCTCTAGAAGATACTGTTTTAAAAAATATTTTGGAGCACTTCTTTAAATGTGTTTTTATTTTTTTGCAAATTGCAGCAAACCCCCAAAAGTAAATATACGCAAAATATTATGTCAATACAATATTAAGGTTGAGATTTGAATTGCACTGAACACAGGAAGTTCCCATCACCTTAAGTCTGCCTCCTTGTACATAACATATTTCAAAGCGACTTTCACTACTTGATCACTCCACATTGCATAATGTTGCATTATATCGCAATGAAAACAAAGGAAATGTACTTTATTCTAACTATAAATGCACATCTTTACCAAAAGTTCTTAAGCAGATTTGTAATATTGCCCTTTGGATGATATCTATGGCAACTCAACTGTGTGCTCCTGGTTTATATTTGAATTGCACCTCTTTCTAAAACCTTGGATGCATATTTTATTCTTTTAATGTGATCATAAAAGGCATACATGCAAGAGGGAGAGTTAAAGTTGTGGTAAATTCTTAATTTTAAATGCCCTCACTTACATGTAATTAAATTTGCAGCCTTAATGTTGCATTAATGTAGCTTTTGGCATATAATAAAAAAATGACTTACTGGGAAAAAGGAGCTTTCTGAAGCTGGCATCCATTAATCTTTCACATTCTTGGGCGACATTATCCTTCATTGTGGAACACTGGAAGCTGTGAGGAAAGTTCAAGAATTTTCCTCCGTCTTCAACATGTGTTCCTTGAAGGATGTTTATACCGTGCATTCATGTCCTCCAGCCTTTAAAGCCTTCGATTCTTTTTTTTTTAGCTCTAATATAGTAGCTTTTTTTTTTTTAAATCATCAGTGAGGTGGGAAAGTAAACATGGATGCAGTTCTTCAGTCAACTCCATTTACAGTATATGATAGTCGATTTCCTTTTGCCAAAAGGTATATGTTACAGATAACCAATCTCTAGGAGACCAGAAGCATGCCTTGATTAAGTAGAACACAAAGTCTTAAAAAATAAACTAAATAAAATAGATTTTATTCTGAAAAAATAGGGCATAAAGCCTTGATACATAAGTAAGAGCAGAGCATGGCTAAGTTGAACAGTGTCTTCTTGCACAGAGACCAAATCATGGCTGAGATTTCAAGTGACACAACATTTGATTTTATCCTTAGCCATCATTTGTAATCACCACCAAAACCACTAGTAATAAATATACTATTTTTAAAATTTATGAATAAAACAAGTGTAATAGTTTCACCCTAGATGCTCGTGGGATCCTTGTCCACATAAGAAAACAATTATACTATTCAGAATGTTTAGGAATCTCTTCTCACGAGAGCATCCAGGACTAGAACAGAATGAGTGGTAGATAGGTAACAGAGAGGGAACGCTGTCATCCACTGGTTAAAGCACTGGACTTGGAAGTCAGGAGATACGGGTTTTACTCCCTGGTTTCCCTATTGCTAAGGGTTATGTCTACACTAAAGCATTGAAGGCTTGCCACATGTTGTTTCTCAGGCCCCTCTACCATCCATACTCAAAGCCGTTAAACACACGTCTAGGCATGTGTTGAACCTCTGCTGGCATCCTCAGCTAGGAAGTATGTTGAAAAGCCCACATTGAGCTGTGAGTCACACCACTACCCACTCACTTTGGACGGTGGAGGTAGCAACTGCACAGGTACCGGGGCTTCTGTTTCGATAGACCACCAATGTCATTCCTACAATTTCATGTACTTTTATCTTCTGTGTCCCTTTACTTAATCACTTCCTATTCACCCCTTATCCACCAGAAGCTACCTGCCATTTATATACCCTTGCTCAGCGTTTAATGCAGCCTGGTCCAGTTTCTATGCAGCTCAACCCAGCTCTGCCGAACAGCAAAATGCCCACCCACCCAGTGTGCTGCTAGCCTGCCAGAAGAGCAAACCAGAGGTTTTAGTTAACTTCTGGTGTGAGTAAAGACAATCTCAAAGCAGGTGGTGGAGCTGGCATGCACCAGACTGGCGTGCAATGCAGGGAGTGCATCAAGTACTGAAAACCCTCTACCACAAGACTAAGAATGGCGATGGCAAGTCTGACAACTGCCCCTCTACAAGCCCCTTCTACAAGGAGTTTGACTGGGTCCTTACTACCACCCTTAGCAGAGAAGCCACTGTCCTCCACAACGTATTTCTGAACATGCATGGTCTTGTGATCAGACTGGAAGACAGTGGGGATGGCACCAGAGAAGACCATGGTGGAGCAGGGATTAGAGTCCCAGGAACAGACTGTGGAGCTGGAAACCCAGCCATATCACCCTAAACTATTAAAATAATTTGTGCTCAAATGGTAAATATTGAATAATGGGTGCTCCCTTCACCACTTCTGTCCTTTCTTCATATAATATGAATTGCACTTCACAGTTCCCTCTTATTCAACCCCCCATTATGGTCTTCTCAAAGAATAATTCACCATGCATAACTTTTGTGCCCCTGTCTTAATTCCTGGGAGGTCAACCTCATACAGTAAGAAAAGAAGAGAAAGACTAACTGGGAGAAAATCTAGTATCTAAAATTTAAACTCTTCTTTTTAATAAATATACTGTTTTACTATAGAATACATGCCTACAGTAACAATTACTATAGTCACATAATGTTTTCTGATAGAATAACAAATTAGCAACATCAATAAACTTTACCTAACACACAAGGTGTGAGGCACACAGACTTGCATTAAAAAACCTGAACCCCAAAATTGTGATTTTAGGAGCAAAAGACTTTTTTACTCTGACTGAGTTGAAGTCCAATCTTTCACACAGATTGTGTGTGTCAACAAGATACTATTCGAAAGTTGAGGGGCTGAGAACCAAAATATAAAGGTTAAGTTATAAGAATGTCTGTAAACAGAAACCATCCCCCTCATGGCTGAGTAAATGTATGATTGGTGTATTCCTATGATTTTATTTCCAACTTTTTAAAAATTATTTTTGAGTCAGGGCTTTTTAGGATAGTCGAATAATGCCTGTAGACTGACCTTTGACCTCAAATGTTTCAAAATACACCTAAACTTGCTGACCAAGTCACTGAGTATATTTTGGATCTATGGACTTTCCTGAACTTGAAATTACTAGAATGGGGAGGCACTTTGTTTGCATAAAGGTGACCTAACCTGCCCCTACTAGGTAATGCCAATGGCCTCAGAACAGGAGAGAAGCTCCTGAGAGGAGTTCCAAAGTGGGGGCGGGGGGGGGGGAAGAGGAGGGAACAGGGGGGAGGGGGAGGGGGAGGGCAGGACCAGCCAAACCACCAGCTTCAAAAACTGAACATTAGGAAGACGACCTGCTTCTGGCTTCTGGCTTGTTTGCCTGCAATGGCTGCTAGCATCTGGCTACAGAATGCCTAACTAAGAGGCTTGTGCTTCCTCCATTGTCCCAGCAAGCCCACCAATGGGTAGGAGTCCAGCAACATGCAACATTTAAGATTCAGCATCTTCAAGCAAGTAACCTCTAGGCAGCCAGCAAATGTGTCAACATTAAACATCAAAGCCAGTAGGACCAATGGCTAATCTTTTCAACCATGTACCAGATTCTTGAGGCTGAATGAAACCACAAGAATTGTGACAACCATCCTGCATAAGTATCCGTCTTTTTGGTTTTGTTTTCTTTTCTCATATTTTTTATTACCAGAAGGATGTATCTACCATAGAATTCTTGCACTTGTTTTTAACTCCAGCAGATGGCTGGTAGCGCATGTAAGTGTACAGAAGTGTGTGGATAGAACCCATAGAACCTATTTAAAAACAACCCCTACAGAGCTGTTCCTCAAATACCTGAGACAGCCCTCGGTTAAACAACTTTGTCGTCTAAAAGATCTCACATACATATATTTCATGGGTTAGGAGTTGTATGTTTAATCCTGACAAATCATGTTATTTACACCTAAATTTGTCACTCACATATTAAATTAAATAGCTGTGTCATCCTGAATTGTACTGGACTGTTTCATGCAACCCTATGTTGGGGGTAGAAAATACTGGCTATTACCTAACAACTAATAATTTAGGCAGGCTACCTTAATTAGCTTCAACCTGAAAGTGGTTTGATCCTCCCTGTATTAGCTATTTGGCTGGAACCTAAATAGATCATCTAGTAATGAGCTTGATAAAACCCTGTTATTTGGGGGGGTGGGGGGCAGATAGCTAACCAAGATTGCTGCTTCCCAAGTTATTACATAGAGTTTATTTGGAATCGTTGGTTTATTTGAATGAAGTTTTTTTATAAGACACTCTTGTATACAAACAAAATATATTTTTACTTAATCTGAAGCCATTAATATGAAAGGAAGAAGGTAGTTTGGATAAGAATGCAAGATAATTCATGTTAGGTAATTTTTTCCAAGTAGTTATTATTTTTCACAGAATGATGATAATTTTAACCTAAATATAGTAACATGAAGTAGAAACAGTTTGGATAAGAATGCAACACTATGTAATTCTTTCCTCAGCAAATAGTTAAGTTTCCATATAGCCACAATAATTTATAATGATGGCATTCTAAATGTTCCCTGAATACCAACAGTGTGAAGGCTCCCTGACATTCAGGGAGAAATAAGAGAGTACAGTGCATTTGTTTGGGCCACTTGGGATTGAAGGAATACTTTTAAACTTGGCATTTTTAAGTCATGAAAAAGTTGAGCGGATTATAAATGGATTAAGGTGGGTCAATTTGGGGGATCTTGTTAAATTCTGAAAACTGGAACTATTCAGCTTTTATATTTCTCTGGAGATTTCACAAACATTTAGTTATAAGAACTACAAACAATTATCCTACTATATTAGCTTGTTCATTAACTATTAAGTTAATTTCATTAACATACAGCTTCAGTCTTGAAAAATTGAGAACTTACTTCTGTCTCTGTGAAATTTTCGGCATGTTTTTACAGCAACAAAGATATCCTCTTTCTTCACTGGATCTCCCTATAAGGAAATGGAAAAATGAATGTTGTAATTGCAGGCACTGCTTTTAACTTTACATTGTGTACACATGTATGTTTTGGAAATAAAACAGAAAATACCTTTGCATTGTATAGTGTATGAAGCAGCATAGTGTACAGTGCTAAGTAGTACAGTTCAAAATACATTTTCTATCTGTCAAGATATGGCACCAGTATTTTCAAATGACTGAAATAACATTGTCCAATGATTGTTTTCAAATGTAGTATTATAGTTGGAGCCAGAAATACAAATCATTAAGAAAGAAAATGAATAGAAGGACTTCATGTACTAACACTGATACAAAGATGACCAAACAAGTGACATTTTAACAAAATAATTGTTGTAATATAGGATGCAGAAACTGCAGGATGTTGGGAAGCAGAAATTTGAAAAGGATTACAATCAGAAAAAACTGTTTTGGTGTAAGCAATATTCATAAAGTTATGCTGCATTCATTGACACAGAGACAATAATTAACACATTTTTATAGTTATTGGTGTGCAAAGCACTTTAAAGCACACCGTCTCCAAGAATTTAAAATCTAAATTAGACAAACACTGACAAAGAACAGTACAAGAAAAGCCATAAAAATATTGCTTTCGTACATTTTTTTCTTTGTTATGATATTTTGTTTTAGGTGCTTTGGAATTTTTCACTATTTGTATTTGTTTTTAAATGATCACATGCCAGAGGGAAAGAAGAAATCACTGAAGTGGAGATTTGTGGTGAAAAGCTATCTGAAAGTAATGAGTTCTGAGGTGGAAGTCAAGATTTTATCTCACCAGCCATTAAATAATATGGTAGTACGATCGTTTTCTTTTCCACGGAGTATTTTAATTTAAAAATGCCTTACTAATACTACTTTGTAATTGTACAGCACCTTTGTACTGAGAGAATCCAAGTGCTTTATATAGAAAATTGATTACTATTGACTCTATTTTCCAGACAGTGAAACTAAGGGACAGAGAGGTTAAAGGACTTGCCCAAAGTCTCACAGTGAGCCAAGAGAGGTGCTGGGTAAAGTAAGACTGGTCTTCAGACTCCTGTTGTTCTGCTCAAACAGACAGGGTGAGAACATCACCCAGCTCCAGCCCCTTTATATTGGTAGAAGGGCCAGAGCAATGTAAAGGATCCCTAAATGCACTGGATATGCTTGGGAGAGGATTCTTCCAACACACGAACTGTGGAAGATAGACATAAAGCTGCCTTGCAAGGACTACCACAAAAGTATTGGCATAGGGGGCATGCTAGGCTGGGGAGCATTGAGGGCTGCAGCCTATAGGACAGCTATAGGAAGCTGCCATTACATAGACAGGCCTTAGGATTCTGGAGGTCACAAAGATGGTTTAATGCCACATTAGGCCCCCCCTTACCATGGGATGCAAGCTCTGTGCAATCTTCCCAGAGTAGGACAGTCCTCAAGGACCACATTTTATCACAGGGGTAGGCAAACTTTTTGGGCCGAGGGCCACATCTGGGTGGGGAAATTGTATGCAGGGCCGGGACAGGGGGTTGGGGTGCGGGGTGTAGGAGGGGGTGCGGTGTGCAGAAAGGGGCTCAGAACTAGGGATTGGGGCAGAGAAGGGGTGCTGGGTGTATGAGGGGGCTCGGGGAAGGGGGTTGGGGTGCAGGAGGGGGCTCAGGGCAGGGGTGCAGGAGGGGTGCGGACTGCAGGAGGGGGCTCAGGGCAGGGGGTTGGGGTGCACAGGGGTGCAGGGAGCAGCAGGGAGCTCAGGGCAGGGGGTTGGGGTGCAGGAGAGGTGCGGGGTGTATGAGGGGGCTCAGGGCAGGGAGTTGGGGTGCAGGAGGGGTGTGGCAGGGGGCTCAGGGCAGGGGTGCAGGAGGGGTGCGAGATGCAAGCAGGGGGCTTAGGGCAGGGAGTTGGGGGACAGGGTGCAGGAGGGGTTTGGGCTCCGGCCTGGCACCATTTATCTAAAGCGGCTCTGGGGTGGCAGCGGTGCGCACCGGGGCCAGGGCAGGCTCCCTGCCTGCCTGCCCTGTCCCCGACCCTGCGCTGCTCCAGGAAGCGCTGCGGCCCCTGGAGAAGGTGGGGGAGAGGTGGAAGGCTCCACGTGCACTGCCCTTGCTGCGCCTCCAGGTACCTCCCCCGAAGATCCCATTGGCCGTGGTTCCCCGTTGCTAGCCAATGGGAGCTGCGGGGGGTGGGGCCTGGAGGCAAGGGCAACGCAAGGAGCCCTCTGCTCCCTCGCCCCCCTCCCCGCCTGGGGGTTGCAGGGACATGGTGCCGGCCGCTTCTGAGAGCAGCGCGGGGCCCACAGCGCCATGGGGGGCAATCCCGCAGGCCGGATTCAAAGCCCGGGCAGGCCATAGTTTGCCCACCCCTGGTTTATCACCTCTGAACTGCCATAGAGATTATTGTTGAGATGCAAAGCACTGCTTCCCTCAAGCACTCCCAAACTAAGAAATGATAAACTTGGTGTGACAGCCCCCGCCCCCGGGTGCAACCTGGAACTGGGGTACCACTGAGCCTCTGACATACCAACCTGGGCCCCCTCTCACACTGTGAGAGCTGTGACAAGCTGCAGATCGCTCCCGGTCCTCCACTCACACAAACCTTTACACAGGCAGGGACACACCCAGCTGCAGTTACATAGAGGCTTCTCCCCCAACTCCACAGCCTAGGAGCTCAGAGCTGTACTGTGTTGTCCTGGTCAAAAGCCTGACCTGTAAGTTTATTTCCCAGTCCACCCCTGCCTCAATGTGGACAGGACAATGCACCAGTTTTTGTTCCTGAGCATATTCCCTAAGCACTTCTAGCAAAACACACTGTTTTAGATAAAAAAGATAAAACAAATTTATTAACTGCAGAAAGATAGATTTTAATTGATTATACGTAGAGAGCGTACAGATCAAAGCAGATTACCTAAGAAATAAACAGAAATGCAATCTAGGCCTTATAAATTAGATAGGATTTGAATCAAGCGGTGTCTCACCCTGCTAGCTAGTACAAGCAAGTTACAGCTTTTGTATACACAGGCTGGAATTCTCTCCCACCTGGGCCCCTCTTCCCCAGGTCCCCAGTCTTTGTTCCTAAGGTGTTTCCAGGTGTTGTGCTGTAAAGGGAGTGAGGCCAAGTGATGTCACTTCCCCCTTTTATATCTTCTTCCAGCTTGCTGGAAAGATCTTTTGCTCTGACATGAGTCAAACAGTCTCCCTTGGCTATGTGCTATCTCTGAGAGGTTTCCATTGTACACAGTTCCTGGGGTAATCCTTGTGAGTGCATTCTCCTCCATGGGCCACCAATGCTGTTTGGCCTTTTATTTGTTGTATGTGAAAGGCTGCTTGTGGGTGTTCCCAACCTCACAACATGTTTCAGTGGCACATATATAGCAAAACTTCATAACTTCATATACAATGATAGCACATACAACTTAATGTTCAGATTAAGACTTTTAAAATGATACCTTACAAGGCATACTTTGTACAAAACATATAATTATATCACCATGGTGAATATGGGGTGCAGAGTATCACTTTGGGGCAGAGAGTGTCACACTTGGTTTTCTCTCACAGCAGTTTCTTCTAGCTCTATCATCTTTTGCTATACATGCTAAATGCTTGACAAAAAGCTTACAATCTAACCAGATGACTAACAAATTAAGAATGGGGGAAGGGATAGATCAGGGAAGTTCATGTGTGTGTCTTCTTAGCTCCAAGATTTTTTTTTTTCTAGGTTTGCTATTATCCGCTTAGCTCACATTTCTTGTGGGGAACACAAGGGTTTGTAATCCTACCTTAGTGCACTACATTCAAATTAATACCCCCACTACCTAATTCTTATATAATGATCTTCTTCCGTAGATCTCTAAGTGCTTTACAAAGGATGTAAGTATCGTTATTCCCATTTACAGACAGGGAAACAGTGGCACAGCAAGTGAAGTGACTTGCCCAAGGCCACTCTGCAGGCCAGTAGCAGAGCTGAGAATACAACCCAGGACTCCTCAGAACATGGTGCACTGCTCTAGCCACTGACCCACACTGATAGTTCTAAGGATTCTAAAAAGAAAACTGAAAACATATCACTTACCATGGCAGAACACCAATAAGTTATAATAAACTATTCAACATAGTTAAATGGGCTAGGTAAAAGGAGTAGAATTACACCTCTACTCCGATATAACGTGACCCGATATAACATGAATTTGGATATAACACGGTAAAGCAGTGCTCCGGGGGGGCGGGGCTGCGCACTCCGGCGGATCAAAGCAAGTTCGATATAATGCGGTTTCACCTATAACACGGTAAGATTTTTTGGCTCCCGAGGACAGTGTTATATCAGGGATATAACAGCATTGACATCACTTTACATTTAAAGAAAAAAGGTCACAAGGCCACAGAATTAAATAGTGCATGCAATACTTTAATCAAATAGCTTCTAGATAAATAAAAATGAGGACAGGTAATAATCTTACTAGGTCTTGTGTTTTCAATTCGTATTGAAGGGTACATGATATGGAACTATCTAGTTAACAGAGAGGAAGAACAATCCAGTGGTTAGAGCGTTAGTGTGGGATCTGGAAGACCGGGGTCTAACAGACTTCCTGTGTGATGTTGGGCAAGTCACTTAACATCTCTCTGCCTCACTTTTCCATTCATAAAATGGGTAAAATAGCACTTCCCCTGCTCACAGGGATGTTGTGAGGCAAAATACATTAAAGATTGTGAAGTGCTCAGATACTCTGGTAATGGGGGAACATGAGTGCCTTAGATAGATCAATCATGTCTATCAGGAAATACAATGTGTAATAGAGGTCTGAGTGTGTAAGAGACAGTAGGAGAATGGTACTCCAAATGTTATATTTTCCCCCCTTAATTTGGTAAAAATATTTTCTCCAGGTCCCTGAGATTTTTTGTAAGTAAAGTTTCAGCCTTTGTAATAACAATGCTCTCTCTAGCAAGTAAGTATAATTTAAAATATGATACTTACGCAAACTGGTAGGAAGTTACTGAACATTGTGGCACAGTGAACAGCCTTATATGAGTTCAAGTCATCCGTACAAAACTCAGGCACTGGAGTAAGATGTGGTCCATTGCCTTTCTGCCAAATATATAATGCAATCTATCAAAATATACAACATAAGTAGTAATGAGTAGTGGAATTGAACAACAATTTTCATAATATACCCAGAAATCATTGTTATAAAGCAAATTAATAAAACATTACAGAAGAAACAGAGAAATAAAGAGGATTCTGTAGAGACTGTGTATATGAATTAACTCATTTATTTAACTTTGCATTTTGATTTTAAAATCAAAGCACAATTTTCACTTAAAAATATTCTCTGCCATAACTTGACATTTTTAAAAATAGCTCCAGGCACTCCAAATTGCCAAAACAAGTGTAAATATATAAGAAAAAAAAGCCAGGGTACAGGAGAAAGGAAGGGGACTGAATACATTTATCTGCACCTACTCTTAAATATAAGATAAACTTTATTTTTTGTGTTGTTCTTTGCAATTAATTTTGGTGATATGGAATGCTTAATTCTGTTTGTTTTAATGTCAACAATAAATAGATTTTAAAAAGACCTGTTCTCTGATGATAATTTAAAATACTCAAAAATGAACACTAAACAACCACGGAAGTATTGAAAGATCCTTTTGTCTATTGTAAACTGAAAGATTACCAGAATGCTAGCAAACGTCGTTAAAGAAAGAAAAAGAAATACGAGGACAAAGTCTGAAGTAAAGACAAAGGTTCATCTTGTCTCCATCTATCTTGAATTAATTATACTCCATCTTGTAAATTATTATATGTGGAGCTGTTAGCACCACCTCTAGTTAAGGTTACTTGACATTTCCCATTTTAAGTCCCTGTTAACTTCAACTAACTGAGATGAAACTTTTTATGCTGGATGTCTGCATCAGGCTGATTCCTTCCCTCCCTCCTTTTTGAAAGTTTCAGCTAAAATGTTTCAGAGAACAAAAGGAGGGGGAAACATGTTCTGTTATAATTTAAAAAATTCTTTCCAATTCTTTCTTTGCTCACATGCTCACAGTATAACTGATTGCCATATGTGCGGTCAGGAAGGAATTTCCCCCGAGATCAGATTAACAGTGACCTTGTAGGGTTTTCACCTTTCTCTGCAGCATGTGGGTGCATGTCACTTGTCAGGATTATCTGGGTCTCTCTCACTTACTCATTTCCCTGCCATTACGGGGGCCTCGGGTACTGTGCCCCTCAGTCCCTCTTATTCTCTGCCTGTGGCACATAGTCTCCTGTAGGCTGTAATACTTTGGTCTAGTTTCAGTTGTTGTCAGTTGTGAGGGTGATGTTGGTGTCCTGAAATACACAGGAGGTCAGACTAAATCAGGGGTCTCAAAGTCCCATGGGCCATCGGCGGTCCGAGAACCTCCCCACTGCAGCCTGTGGAGGAGAGACGCATGCAGCCATGCTGCTGGCAATGTCTGCTGCAGGCGCCGCCCCCCTATTGGCTGGGGGAGAGGGATAGAGATACCATCATTCGTTGCCGGGCAGAGTCAGCCATGGCGGCAGCATCATTAGTTGCCAGGCAGAGTCAGCCATGGAGGTAGCATCACTTTTTTCCACAATGAATATAAACAAGTCAAAATACCAAACACAACTATCTGATGCACACCTTGCTGCAATCCTGAAGGTTTCAATTGCTCAGTCACTGAGGCCAAACATCAACAAACTGACAGAACTGAAGCATTGCCAGGTGTGTGGCAAACACTAAAAACTCTCTGGCAGGCAAAGGATTGTATAAAGTTGTATGACAGTTTTATTATTTCTGAGAAATTTGAAATAAAAAATACAATATAAATGTTTTCTTTTCTGAACACCATCTTCAGTGACATTATTGGCCTGCTGGGAGGATTGGAGGACTGGCACTAGCCCAAGGTAAATTGAGTTTGAGACCCCTGGACTAGATGATCTGATGATCCCTTCTGGCCTTAAACTCTGACTCTGAACTACTTCATTGAGAAGCTCCAGCAACTCCATGTTTTGAAGCAGGGACTTGATTTTGGCAGGAGGGTTGCTCTGATGTCTTTGGCCATTCCCATGAAAAGTCTCACAAATTTGGCCAAGTTATAAAACCTAAAAAACAAAACAAACAAACAAACAAAAAACCCACAACAACCCTCAGTTTGCATATACTCAGTGGAGACTTTTGACAGCTAAATTCTCCTAATATACTATCTGCACTGAATAATGCTCTATCCTGGGAATGCAGGGGGATAGCAGAATTTTCCCTGCAAATACTCCTCCTGACATCTGGGGGGGTTGTAAGCAGCAAGTCACTTAAACCAACATATTCATTGCTGGTCACTAAAAGTGTGTTCTTCAGATTTGTAGAATTGGTGAGCACTCAACTCCAACTGAAGTTGGCTGGAAGCTTGCTTTGAACATATGAAGTGCTATAAAAAGGCTAAGTACACTGAAAAATAAGGACCTAGGTTTCTCAAGTTGGGCTCCAAAAATTAGTGAGCACTTGGACCTTAATCTCACTGTGCCTCAGTTCCCCAGATGTAAAATTGGGATAATAATTCTAATGGGGACAATATCACCTAATCTCACAGAAATGTTGTGAAAACAAACTCTTTAACGTTTGTGACACACTCAGATATTATGGTGAGAGCGCCACAGAAACACCCAGGAGAAAATCAATAATTTTGTATTCAGCACAGCATAGGCTAAGTGTGCATTAAATAAAGCGTGGGGCTCCACTGAATGTGGAGGATAAAACAGAGTTCTAAGATTCACACTGAAAATGAAAGGTATTTTATGGAATGCCATTCTAAAAGGCCTTCTTGCAGAAAACCATAAATGAACACAGTATGTGTGCTTAATGACAAAAAAAGTCATATATTTGTAAGACAGACTGTGTTCCATCTGGAAAGCCACAGCAGAGTAGTGAATGTAGACAATATTAGGAAGAAGACTAATGAATGGGCAGCAGCTAGACCTAATAGACACAAAGGTGAAATAAAAGCACTTAAGGCAAATGATGTCACTTGGATTCTATCTTACTGAAGGTACATGAGCATAATACAATTCCTTTCCCCCTCAACAACGATAAAGCAAAATAGAAGAACGTGGTAATCACTCTTCTGTCACATCTCCCTTATATCTCCAGCTTTTCCAGTCTTCACTGAAATCTAAATGTATTGGGATTAAGGAATGAGGGGATTCATGAGGGCAGGATTGTAAACTAAGATCATATATTTAACATCTTCATAATTTAGACTCTATAATACCAACATTAAAGATATTAGATTGTATCCTTTGATTTATTGGCAGCCAGTGTAATTTATGGAGGATGTGTGTAACCACCCCTTTAACTTCTATTTGAAGAAGCAAGCGAGCGTTTGCCATTTCAATTGTTACAGCCTTGGGGTCAATTAGTGTGTGTTACAGTAACCTAGTGTGGGTGTGGCAAAGCAGGATGGCCCCAGGAAGGTCTGCATCAGAGAGAAATAGAGGGACTTTCTGGATAAACCAGAAATGGTGGTAATGACTCTTGACCACTATCCAAATATAAACTTCCTTTCTCAGAAAACAGTGATGGATTTCCATTCCCCCCCCCCCCCCCCCACACTTCCACAAGCTCCCAAATCTATTTGACTAGCATTAGCTGTACTGCCTGAATAATACAC